AAGTGTATAATAAGTTCAAAAATAATAAATAAAAGAAAGAACAATGAAAAAATGACTTGAATGAGAATTTAAGACTTATCAAGATAGAAGAGAGAAAGAGGTGATTCAGGTAGAAATTAACAGTGTTCTAAAATTCTTAAAAACGCGGCGCATAGGCGGGCCTAGGCACGGCGCGCGGCAGAAACGCGTCGCTTTTGTGGTATTCGCGTGAAAATGCTGTCAACGTTTTCCGTTGATCGCCGATGCGCGCCTAGGCGCGACTATGCATATCAATGCGAGACTAGGTGTATTTAAATTCGATTAGACACGTTTATTCGCAAATTAGGCTCACATTAGGAAACCCAGTGGTCCAATTGCAAATCTTTAATACCCGGCCCATTCTCAGAATACCCCCCACGACCCGACACGAGTCAATTTAGCCTTTTTTCTTTCCCAACTCCCAAGTCCCATGTGAGAAGACTCAGAACTCAAAAGTCAGAACTCCTCCACTCCGTTCTCTGCTCACTAGTCACCTTGACGGCTTCACCTTCACCAGTCTGAGTTCTGACTGGAGGAGTTCAGTTCACCTTTATGGCTTCACCTTCAGTTTGTGGCTCATTTCCTCCAAATTCCGCTTAAATTATATTTCTCTTTCGGATTGTACTCATTTTTTCCGTTGTTTCGTGTGATTTTTTTCCTTGCATGTTCATGTTCATGTTTCCGTTTTCATTTATGATTTGAATTGTTTTATTTCTGCCTATTATTTGTTGGAATGCTGTGAAAGTTGCAAAATTGAAAGCTTCATCCACTGTTTCTTTCCATTTTCTCCTTAATTTAGTGTAATGCAGTTGTTAATGGTGCTTAGTTCTTGTGATTTTGCGCATATCTCAGTTTTTGTGATTGTGTAGATGCCTATTGTTTTAATGGTGCTTAGTTCTTATTTCTTAATAATAAATTTAAATAGCAAATTCGTCCCAACCCCCTCCCCCCACACAAAAACACAACAAGTACTGATTTTCAAGAAATTTAGAAGAATGATCTGAATATGGCAATTTGGCAAGACCCCCAATCTGATTTTTAGAGTCATTTTTCAAGACCCCCAATTTGGCAATTTCTGTGACTCCCCTTTCCCGTTACATCTGTGTAATTGTGATAGTTATAATTGTGATGGTTATAATTTAGTTATCATATTGTATGTTGATAACTTGATAACTTTTATCCTATTTTGTTATTTATCAATATTATGAAGGCATTTTACTATTATGATATGCTATTATCAAAGTTTAGAAGTGGTTATCTTTTGAATTTAATTGTGCAAGACCTCAAGAAAATTCTCTACTTAGTGTCCAATCCATTAATCAATATTTAATAGTAAATGCGTATGTTCATTTTTAAATAAAAAATTATTTTTTTAATATAAAAATCTATTTATTATACTTAAAATANTTAATGTAGAAGTGTTCTAACTTTTATCATATTTTGTTAGTTATGATATTGTATGTTGATAACTTGATAACTTTTATCCTATTTTGTTAGTTATCAACTTATCAATATTATTAAGGCATTTTACTATTATGATATGCTATTATCAAAGTTTAGAATTGGTTATCTTTTGAATTTAATTGTGCAAGACCTCAAGAAAATTCTCTACTTAGTGTCCAATCCATTAATCAATATTTAATAGTAAATGCGTATGTTCATTTTTAAATAAAAAATTATTTTTTTAATATAAAAATCTATTTATTATACTTAAAATAATATTAAAACTACGAAACGCATTATGACGCATATTTTCCGCATTGACACGCTTAAACTTGTGATTCTTGATTCTCGACCTCGAAGCATCGCAACACATTACGCATTTTAGAACACTGAAAATTAACGGTCTAACAAGCAAAAGGTGACTAGCGATTTGCGATTGAGAATCGTTTTTGTTCAGCAGTGGCAGACAAGTATTAAATGTTTGAGAAATGAGAGTTTAGGTTAGGGCTTCTGAAGTTGTGAGCGTGATTTGTTGTCGTAGTTTTGTTCAATTATGATTTGAATTGTTGAAAATAATTTTTTTTTTTTCCATATGATTTGTGATTAATTTTAGTTTAGATTAGATAATGGGTAAGGACGTATGTTGTGGACTTATAAAACCATTGGCTAACAATGATAAACTTAGGCCCTGTCTGGGTGCCATTTTTGGAGGAAAGAAAGTAATTTTTTGCTCGTTACAGCCCACCATTTTGACCCACTCTTTCACGAGTGGGACCCACTGACCAACAGCAACGTAAATATTTTGATTTTAATTCAAAAAGAAGCTGCAACAGACATGCTCATAATTTACTTTATATGATTATTTCAATGGGTTGGTTGTGATTTGTATTGTTAAATTGGTATTTTTCTAAAAAGTGAAAACTTTAAAACTTGTAAGTTAATAAAATTATTTTTTAATTAAAAAACAGTTCGATTTTATGCGATTTTTTAAAATTGAAACATAAATCAAATCATTTTGAAACGGTTTCGTTTGGTCTGAGGGAAAATAAATCGCAGGTCCATGTGGACCCGAACCAACGGTTTCAAATTAACGATTTCGGTTCGGTTTGGTTCGCGATTTTTTTTTGCGCAGCCCTAGTTCACCCAATTAATTATTAACACAATATTTTTAAATTAACATATCATCTCAAATGTACCCTCGTTAACTTCATCAATAACCCACCAAATTGATGACATGTTAATTTAAAATGACATGTCAATAATTAATTGAATGGACGGCAAATTAGTTAGTAAAAAAGCCTGTCATTTAAAGTTGAACAAACGCAATATCATAGAAATGTAATCAACTTTCAACATTCTTTCTGGATATTCCTCAATGTCCCAGCTATTCAGGGACTTGAAAAGCAAATTACATAATTCAAATCTTTTTTCAATAAATTTTTAAGGAGAATCAGCACTTATTAATTGTAGACCGAAAATCCAGCATGTTGACCCCAAAAAAATATTGCCAACAGATGCCGGGCCCACTCGTGCACACGTTAATGCCGATCAACGATCAAGTTGACTCTAGAAAATGAACGTGAAAGTGGCTCAAAGGCACGAGACGTCTCCGTTCAGGCTTCCGGCAAGATAAATATAACGCGATTGTATAAGAAACCAATCGATAAAGAAAGATTTGTAGTAGAAGATATGTTGTAGTAGTCGCTGTTTTAATGAGAGAGGGAGAGATTGCTCAAAGTATTTAGATTTTTTTTTTCAGAATCTTTTTCATTCGCCCTCTCGTGTTACATGGTAAGGGTATTTATAGTGTTACAACTCAGATGGTGGTTTTTGGATCAATTTACACGTGGCTTCATCTCCTGGCCAGGATATCAAGTCCTAGCTATCAAGTTGACTCTCCTAACCTTACAAAGCATTAAATGCTATTACATTGACAAAACAAGACACCAATACACTTTACACAAAAGTCACGTCAATCATTCAAGTAAAGATTTTCATCATGAGTGAATCTTCACACGTGGGTCTTCACTAGTTGCGAAAAAGAGCCTCGGACAGTGCACGTCCACCGAACCGTGGCTGTAGTTAACATAATGGCCTTGGAATGATCAAGGCCTCGGAATCCACGTCAGATGTTAGGAAAATATACACTAATTTAATTAGACTCGTCACAGTATCTATGCTGAAAATTTGATCATAGCATGTTTGGTTAAGTGGAATCAAAGAGTGCTAAACAACTTGAAAGATAGTTGCAGCATATTCCTCAACCCCTAGCTTTCAATAAGCAACTCCATAATGCAAACTTATTAAGCTCAAAATCACAGATGCGTGAAGAAGAATATAATTCCATTTTCTTGTTAGTAACACTGTAACTCGATAAAAGAAATTGAAAATGAAGAACGTCATCTCCTAGAATAAGAACCTCATTTGAAGTATAGCACCTAAAATGTTTTCTCCCATTTCTACACTTGCTCTCCCAGAGAAACCCGACCAACAATTTCATCTTTATCGCGAGGCATTTATCTGAGGTTTCCTTTAATAAACTACTCGTCGAAACTGCACTTGGTTGGACGGGGAGAAAGTCTATACTCGTGTTTGAGAAACTAAAAGCCCATTGACTTTTACTAAAAATGTTGATCTCAATCTCTTCGACTCACAATGATCTTCTCCAAAGACGTAAAATTGGCAATCTCAAACATTTCTCAATCATATTAGATCACATATCGAAGTTGAATATTATGAGATCACACATCATTTCTCATCTAAGGTATCTCAATTTAATCCATAATTAGGCGATATCCCAAGTTCCCAACGCAAATAAAAACGACACTAAAGTACTTTTTAATACAAGAATCAGAGGGACTTGGAGAGATTCTAATGTGCCATTTACATGTTCTTACCCTAGAGGAACGCTCGGAGAAGATCTCATTCCAACAGGCCAACGCGAGATCGTGCTTGCAATCAAGGTATACTTTTCAATATCATCACCGATAATACCTCAGGACTTGTTCAATGTCTATTTGTCATCCTACATTTTCAACATCAGTCCCCTCTCCAAATCTAAGAAAATACATTGGTCTTTACGGCCACAATACCAAATTACACCCAGACATTTGAACAATTAAGTGAAAGAGGAGTCCATGTTATTTGATTCATTGAAATAAATTGGAACGAGAATGTTGACTTACCTACATATACACCGTAAGATCATGGAGCAAATCTGTCAATCGCCACAGGATTTAGCACCACTGGTGTGTAACACCAATCTAGGTGGCAGCACTAGTGTCGTTAAATTACAAGTTCCATTAAATGAATCACATAATTCACATAATTCATTTTTAATTGAACCTACGACTTATTGTCACATAGACTGGTGCTAGAGAGCATTATTCTGATACTGATAATTTACTAATTTAGTACAGCATCAACATGAAGAATAATCCAATATCAAAGTTAAGACAATTGAACTTCCAAGCTATAAAGGAATGTGTTATTAGATTCATTCAAATAAATCAGAACGAGTATGCCTTATGTACACACCCTAAGATCTTTATCAAATCAGAAGCGCCAGCTTGGCCCTTCAAGAAAATTCGTAAATCATTCCCAGCTAACATCTACATACATGTATACAAACAATTAAAGACGAGCCAAACCATCTTCAATGGAATAGTTGAAGGAGACAGGCCTCGAGATATTGCTTCAACGTGTACAAACAATTCCAACCTGATGTACTATTTCTGCCACAACGAGAACATTGCATGCCTATACATAACCTCAATTTCATATCTCTGTTTCCATTGCCATTAATAAATCTTTTCGTGGCCAATTGTCTTTGCTACCCGAAGCGAACATGGCCACTGAGATGTCGGCCAGCTTCTTTGCACTCAATCGAGACCTTGGAACCCTCGACTGCTTTGGAGCATTAGGAGCTTCAACGTCATTGAACTCACCCAAATCCTCCACATTCTGGAACCCAACAGACTTCCTTGGAGTGCTAAATGCAAAATGCCACTGCTTTGTTATCAGAGTCTGTTTATTCAAGTAAGAATCCCAAATTAATATTCATGGTCAAGCAAATCCTAAGAACAAAAAAAGTGATTAAAATCAAAATCTTTAGGACTACAAAATCTTACCGCATCTCTTATTGATTTCGATACAAAAACCAGCCTCTTCAAATCATCATGCTCGACACCACACAATATCCTAATCTGCATAAAAAATTCTCACCATTTTAGGAACACAATTTATCAAGACATTCTGATTTTGTAACCACATTACTTTTACTAATACTCCTCATAATCAATGAATTCAACATTCACTATCAATCATAAACAGTTATATATACTAGAAATTACCCATTTAAGCATAATTTTCCACAATACTGAAAGAATTGACTCAGAAAAAGAGAGTACTAACCAGAACATCCTGAGGCAGGGCTTCAAGAATAGACTTGTCTGAACAGAGAAATGAATCTTCATAGCACTGTCTCTTTGTGGGTGTGGTGAGAATACAATCATTATGACCATCAAACTCCAAACTAATATTCGACAAAGCAACCCTTTTCCTCCCAAATGATGTACTCCTCACCAGTCCCATCCCATACCCTTCATTTGCTCTATTCACTATTGACTCACATTTCTTCCCCCGCACCATTTTTTTTGTTGCTATTCTTTTTCTCTTTACAAACACAATCAGATTACCCAAGAACCCAAATTAAAATGTTAAAATAATAGATGCCCACTAGCCAAAAACAGTCAAAAAATCTATTTCACTTCCTATAAATCCTTTCCCGGCAGAAGTATACAATGATGATATATTTGTGTACAGCGTTCTAAAATCTTCAGAAGCCCTAATTTGAAGCAGAGAGTAAATGGAGATTGATGTAACGGTTGTAGTGTAAAAGGAAACAACAACCGACTTCCAACTATCTTCTATATTTATGCATTACTGTATATCACTCTCCTTTATATACAGTCAAGTTTTTTCATTTAAAAATAGCTTTTTCAAAATTATTTTTCCTTTTGGGTTTTTTAAAATCTGCTTCGAAAAATATTTGAGATTGTCTAGAACAGACTCGAATTTTCCTATTTAAAAATATAAATACCCTAAAACTAGCCGTTATGAAGGGACACGTGGCCGAAGAAGAGAGGTTAGAGGAAGCAAATAGGGTGGTTTTGATGACGTGGCAGTTAGTGGCGGTCTGCTTTATCTAAAACACGTCTTTGGTCATTTGCTATTTACATTTCACGCGTAGTTTTAAAAATGACAATTGAAAGGGATGCTGACATGTGTAAGTTTGATGGATCTATTAATGGTCCAGATTTGGAGTGCAGATTACGGGGAAAAGCTTTGGATTCTAAATCGGCGGCTGAAGCGAGTGGACGGCTGTTTACAGTTTATACACGTTTTACTTGGTCATTGTGCAGAATGTCGGCCAACGGGAATGGAGTTCACAAGTAGGCGTGGACCCACCATAGTATGGCCCAGACGCGTGATTAGAGGTGATGAATACACCGAACCATTGGTGAGCTCGATCCAGTCCATGGACAGGTCGAACTCGTTTTTCAGACAAACCATAAATCACGCCAACGCTCTTTTTCATGAGCCAGCTGGTTTTGGGTAATGGGCTGACTCATTTTTTGATATATTATAGAGGAAATTACACATAACAGAGTTTTCAAAATTTAATTTCAAATTTTAGATATAAGGTTTCACTTTTCAAAAATTAAATATCTTATTTTTAAATATTAATTATACAATTTTCATCTCAAATCCTAACCAATTTCATTTCAAACCGTAGAATTTTCCACCTCTTCCCACTCTCTTCTCTCTATCTTCTCACTCTCTCTCCTCGCTACCAGAGAAGAGGGAGACAGAAGAGCACGGCGACTGGTGCTTTCGATGGATCGACCAGTTTTCTGTCGTCTATTGCTTCAGCTCCAGGCAGCTTCTAGTTCCTCTTCCAGATCGATTACTTGATTCCACCGGAGCACCGTCAACGCTAGGATCATGACGCCTCTGTCAGTGCCTGCCACACCGTCGTAGCGACGCTGCTTTGAGAGTGCTTTGCAGTATCGCTACAAGGCTCACTATCGACAATGATGCCAGAACCACCGTTGTTTGTTGTGGTATTGGCCACGGTGACGTGGGCGACGGTGCTCCTATTGGCGGCAGTCATGTGGGCAGTGTTGGTGAGGTTGTGGGTTGTTGGATATAGTGCATGTGCTGGTGGAAAAGTCAGTTGACAGTGAGCAGGAGGCCACTCGCAGGATTCAGTCATTGCTAGAGGAATTTTATGAGGACTTCCCGGAAAAACTCCCAGATGGATTACCGCCAGAGCCGTCATTTCGAGGTGATAATGTCTCTTCTCCCTCTGTCTTCTCGTTGGCGACTGGTGCTTTCGATGGATCGACCAGTTTTCTATCGTCTATTGCTTCAGCTCCAGGCAGCTTCTAGTTCCTCTTCCAGATCGATTACTTGATTCCACCGGAGCACCGTCAACGCTAGGATCATGACGCCTCTGTCAGTGCCGGCACACCGTCGTAGCGACGCTGCTTTGAGAGTGCTTTACAGTATCGCTACAAGGCTCACTATCGACAATGATGCCAGAACCACCGTTGTTTGTTGTGGTATTGGCCACGGTGACGTGGGCGACGGTGCTCCTGTTGGTGGCAGTCATGTGGGCAGTGTTGGGGAGGTTGTGGGTTGTTGGATATAGTGTATGTGCTCGTGGAAAAGTCAGTTGACAGTGAGCAGGAGGTCACTCGCAGGGTTCAGTCATTGCTAGATGAATTTCATAAAGACTTCCCGGAAGAGCTTCCAGATGGATTGTCGCCAGAACCGCCATTTCGTACTGATAATTCTGATGATGATGAGGTTTCTATCCCGTCAAATTCAATGGCGGTTTTTTCTCAACCCGTGGAGAATGATGAAGGCAAAATAATAATTTCATTTAATTTCAAGTTTGTTCGTTTTTGGTGAATTGTTAGTCTAATTTGATTGGAAACGGGCCAATGATCACAACTCAGGACCTTTGGCCCTGATGCACGTCAAATTTTGGACAAATTCCATAGTTTAGGCCCTCAATTAAGCGTTTTTGCCGTTTATGGTAATTTTTGTTTTCGCAATATCTTAATCAAATAAATTCGGATTTGATTTCCGTTTGTTGGGGGATGATCCTGATGATTAGGAGAATCAAGATTCGTCATTATCTTAATTTTTTTCCATTTTTGGAAAAAAAATAATATTTTTCATTATTAAGTAATTTCTTTCCGAATTTTCTTAGGGTTAATATTTTTTATTATTGGGTAATTTATTTTCGAATTTTATTAGGGTTTCGCTATTTAAACGTTTTAAACCCTTTGATGCAGCTCAATTTTGAATGAAATAAAGTTTTTCTTTGAATTTCTCATTATTGAAATTCTTTTTGTGAGATTTTTGTCTTTCCTATAATCTTCCCCTACATCAGTTAGTATCAAAGCCGAAATCGTTCCTTCACCATGCCGTCAAGTAGACGTCAAGAAGCCTGTGAAGCCCTAGTAGAGGAGATACATAGACGTGATAAAATTGCACAGCTGCGTCAACAAGTGGAGTTGCTGCACTTATGCCGCAACAACATGCACCTAGAGGTCGTGGTCGTCATGGGCAGGTTCGGTTTGAGGAAGTCCAACACCGTGATCATAATATTCAGGATGTCACGATTGAAGATATTGAAGAAACAATAGAGGGGGAAGAGTTTGATTATGACGGTCTGCCTGTATTTGACAATGAAGACATTGAAGAAACAGTAGAGGAGGAAGAGTTTGATTATGAAGGTCTGCCTGTATTTGACAATGAAGACATTGAAAAAGCAACAGAGGAGGAAGAGTTTGATTATGAATGTCCGCTTGTATTTGACAATGAAGACACTGAAGAAGCAACAAAGGAGGAAGAGTTTGATTATTACGGTCCGCCTGTATTTGACAATGAAGGTGTAGAAGAGGCAACTGAGAAGGAGGAGTTTAGGGTTCGTGATGTGGGTAGGCATTGGTGGTGAGGTGGAGTTTTCTGACTTCCCTAGAAAATAACATTGACTGGTTGCGTACTAATATCTTCCAGTCGATGTGTACTATTGGGAAAAAGAAAAGTGTGTTGCTTTCAGATAAGGGTTCGGTAAAAACAGTTGGGGATGACGCCAATTTACTGACCAGAGTGAAGTTCGAGACAAATATGGAAGGATATGGGATAGTGTATGTGCTGGTGGAAAAGTCAGTTGACAGTGAACAGGAGGTCATTCGTAGGGTTCATCATTGCTAGAGGAATTTCATGAGAACTTCCCGGAAGAGCTTCCGATGGATTGCCGCAAGAGCCGCCATTTCGTAGTGATAATTCTGATGATGATGATGTTTCTACCCCGTCAAATTCGAGGGCGAATTTTTCTTAACCCGTGGAGAATGATGAAGGGAAAATAATAATTTCATTTAATTTCGAATTTGTTCGTTTTTGGTTAATTTCTAGTCTAATTTGATTGGAAACGGGCCAATGATCACAATTCAGGGCCTTTGGCCCTGATGCACGTCAAATTTTGGATAAATTCCATCTTTTAGGCCCTCAATTAAGCGTTTTTGCCGTTTATGATAATTTTTGTTTTGGCAATATCTTAGTCAAATAAACTCGGATTTGATTTCCGTTTGTTGGGGGATGATCCTGATGATTAGGAGAATCAAAATCCGTCATTATCTCAATTTTTTCTATTTTTGAAAAAATATAATATTTTTTATTAATAGGTAATTTCTTTCCGAATTTTCTTAGGGTTTCGCTATTTAAACGTTGTAAACCCTTTAAAACAACTCAGTTTTGAATTAAATAAAGTTTTTCTTTGAATTTCTCATTATTGAAATTCTTTTTGTGAGACTTTTGTCTTTCCTATAAACTTCCCCTGCATCAGATATAGTGGTGGATGTAGTTTTGTTGGCGGGTTCGGTATGGGTATGGAGGTGGTGAATCTGTGCGGTGGTGGTGCGGTGTGGACGTGGCGGTGGATCTGTGGTGAGGTGGTGGTTGGGTGTTGTGTAAATGGAGATAGAGAAGATGGTGGTGGTGGTGGTGGTGGCGGCGGCGGCGTTGCGCAGTGGATATGTGCGGTGTTGGTGGTGATGTTGGCTGCGGTATTCGAGATGATGGTTTTGTTGCTGGGAGGTGGTGTTGGTGGTTCTATCAACGATGGTTTAGGCTGTTGCAACGGTGTGGTGATGGTCACAAGCTCTGGTGGTGATCACAAATGATTTGGTTGATTGTGACCAATAAATTGGTTGGAGTGTGACCAATGAAGCAAATAAATTGTGACAAATACATACTGCGTGACCTAAAAATTTAATACTTTGTGACCAATAATTTGATAAATTGTGATCTAAATATAATTTGTGATCAATTAATTTGATATTTTGTGACCGTAAAAAAATTTGGAATATAAAATTTGTGATTTGTGATCGATTAATAAATTGTTGATTTGTGACCAATAAACAAATTGTGATTTATAAAACTTTTGAATTGTGATCGTAAAATAATTTGTGATATATGAAAATTGTGATTTGTAACCAATTAATAATATGTGACCAAATTATATGAAATTGTGGTCTTAATATGTTTAATTAATAAAATATATGTTTAATTTA